ACCCCCCACCCCCCTCCTGTTCTGCCCTGGGGCCTGGCGCTGGTTCTGCTGGAATTTCCAGAAAGTGCAGCTTCTCCAGTTGATCTTCACTTTTCTGACTCATTGGAAAAAGTAAAAACATGAAACAGCTCAGGAAAGGCAACGGTCCCTGGACCCCGCACCCTGAAGGCAGGTGTCATCCGTGTTTTGGGGCCTCCTTACCCATTGTGTCCATCACCAAGGTCATATTTGCTCCTCCTGAGAGAGCCAGAGACCCTTCCAGGAGCCCGACCGCTGGGGCGTGGTGTGAATGGAGGAGGGGGAGGTCCAAGATGATTCACATGGCAAAGTTTATCATGTTGACCATTTTTAAGTGCACAGGTCAGTGCTATTAAATACATTCACAGTGTCGTGCAATCTTCACCACCATCATCTGCAGAACTTTCTCATCTCTCCAGACTGAAACTCTGCACCCATTAAACACCCCCCCCCTCCTCCAGCCCCTGGCAACCACCACTCTACTTCCTGTCTCTGAATTTGACCAAAGTACCTCATATGAGCGAAATTATACAGAATTTGCCCTCCTGTGACTGGCTTATTTTAGTTAGCACCGTATCCTCAAGGTTCATCTGTGGTGTAGCAGTTGTCCAGATTTCCTTCCTTTTTCAGGCTGAGTAATATTCCACGGTGTGGAGATACCACGTTTTGTTTTTCCATCGCCCATGGATGGATGGGTTGCTTCTGCGTTTTGACTGTTGTGCATAATGCTGCTGTGAACGTGGGTGTACAGCTTTCTCTTTGAAACTGTGCTTTCAATCCCCCAGATACATACTGCTGACCCCTGAGAAGGAGTACATCTGTCAATAAGGACTCTTGTGCGACCAAATTCATATCAGAGTCTAGCAGTCGTTTGCAGAGGCCTCTCATGCACCCTGCATTTCCGGGGAAAGCTACAGACTGAACCTCCAGCCTCCTGGACGGGGCTTCCAGCCTCTGAATAAACCCTTATAATGAAATTCTTAGTATCACATTTCCACCAGTGGCCCGAGACCTGCCCTGTCCGATAGGAGCTCTGCAGCTATATTCTCATTTGCATATTTACTGATCAATCGGAGCAGCTTCATATTGCCTGGTCAGGGTAAGGGGTTCTGACCAATCAGGACAGTGCTATTTGGACCAATCAAACTGCAGATTTGGATCCCTCATTTGCATAAAAACGGACCCATCGGGGGCTAGGGTGGGCACCCCTTTGTCTTGAGGGGGTGAACTTTCTGTTTCTTCAGGAGGATGTGTTTTCCTGGTTTGCATGCTGTTCACCTGATTAAAGTTTCTCCTTTTACCACCCCCCAGATTGGGGACTCCTGTTATCATTGGATGGGTGGCAGTGACCTTTTGTTGACAGTACTCAGAAGTGGAATTGCTGGTTCACAAGGTAGTTCTATTTCTAATTTTCTGAGGAACCTCCACACTGCTTTCCACAGTGGTGGCACCGTTGTCCATTCCCACCAGCAGTCCGCGTCACCAGTCCTCGACGGCACCAGTCGCTCTGTCTTTTCGGTAGTGGCTGTTCTTACGGGTGTGATGTGGTCTCTCTCCATGCTCTCCCTCCCCACTGTCCTCCAGGAACTGGGGAGGGGTCTGCCTCGTTGGAACTCCAAAGACTGAGTTCAGGTTCACTGACTTGGGGAAACTGAGGCGCTGAGAGGGGCAGAGACCTGTCCAGGGTGACCGAGGTGTGTTTCCGGTGTCCCTCTGTCCTCGGTGGCCAGCAGTGATGAGTAAGACGGGGCCCTGATTCCGGGGAGTTCCTGTGGTGCATTTTATCCAGACGGGAAGCAGAGGCCGCTATGGCTCCGGAGGCCACGCTGGCCTCTCCAAGCCTGTGGACAGGCAGCGATCGACTTGGGAACAAGTTTTGTCCCCACGTGAGTGGAAAGGTAGTGACTTCAGAAGCCAAGGCTAAGATTTAATATTTAAAGGGCATCCCTTGCACAGGGGAGGCCCAAGGAGTAGAGAGAAAGGTGGGGGCACCTGGTGTCCGCGTCAGGACCAGGACCCTCACCTGCCTCATGGAGGGTGTGGCTCCCCACGTGGGCCCCTGCAACCTGCGATGGAAATGACGCCTGGATATTTGAGGCACGAATGAGTGAATATTTGACTGAATGAGGGATAGTGACCCTGAAAGTGCGGGAGCTCCTGATGGGTTGCAGCACCCGAGGACAGGTTTTTAGAGAAGGGCCCTGGAGCTTGTGTCCTCCCTGCAGACGGGGCGGAGCGGCGGCCTGGCCTCTGCACCCAGCTTGGCGGAGCATCCTGGTGGCTCCTTGTGCGGGTGGCATTGGGGCAGTGGCAGGAGGAAGTACCTTCCTCTTTCCTCATGGTGTTAAACTTGATTTATGACGCACAAACAATGTAATGAAAGTGAGGTGCAGTTAAAAACAGGAAAGTGTGTTTGCGTCTGACCCGCCACCTGCTTGGACTTTAAAACCCTTCTCTCGGTCCTTGTCTACCTGCAGATGTATTTGTGCTTCGCTTTTCACTTTATTCATCCTAACACACGCACACACACATGTACATGCACACTTGCCCCCCCCAGCCTTCCTGGGACGCCCACATTTAGTTGCTCAGTTTTCACTGAGCACCTACTATGTGCTGCTCTTGCCCTGGGCACTTTGGGTCCTTTCCAGCACCTGAGGAGAGATGCTTCTCGAAACGCCTTGTGGTGCCTGCAGAGCCAGGCAGCCGGAGGGCCTCTCCCAGTGTGGATGGGTGGTGCATGGACGCTGCTTCTCCTTGAGCCTTGCCAGCTGGCCCTGCAGCAGCCTCCGGTCCCCACATGGTGATTCAGCGGGTGGCCTGCAGACAGACTGACAGACGGGCAGGCATTGGCTGAGGTGTGTCTCTTGGGGGGAACCTGGCAGTTGCTGGGGCCCACGCCCCTTCTCAGAAGCCACTGTGAGCCAGGGGAATAACTGAACATGACACTTTATTCTTTCTTCTTGAAATGCCTGGACCTGAGGGGGGATCCGCACAGCTTTGAGTGAGTTTCTGCAGCATTTTCCGCACTGTGGAGAAGGCTTTTTTCTGTCCCTTGATGTTCTTGTTGATGAGATTTTTTAAATTTATTTTAAAAATATATCTTTATTGATTTCAGAGAGAGGAAAGGAGAGGGAGAGAGGGAGAGAAACATCAATGATGAGAAAGTCGTTGATCGGCTGCCTCCTGCACATCTCCGACTGGGGATCGAGCCTGCAACCAGGGCATGTGCCCTGACTGGGAATCGAACCCCGATCACCTGGATCCTAGGTCGATGCTCAACCGCTGAGCCACGCCCGGCCGGGTGGTGATGAGATCTTAAAATTGTCATATTTAATTCGTTGGGTTGCCGCACACATGGAGGCCAATTGCATGATCGAGCTGCAAGGGGCGAGGGCGTCTCAGCTGCCTGCAGGTGCTGGCTCCAGCCTGCAGGTGAGTTGGGAGTGGCCTTCATGGGGGGGGGGGCACATGGGGG